ACAACGGGGTTTCACCATGTTGGCCAGGCTGGTCTCAAACTCCTGATTTTGTGGTCTTGACCTCCCAAAGTGCTGGGATTACAGGCGTAAGCCACCATGCCCGGCCACAGTTTCTGTTGTTGAGAGCGTGTGAGGGTGCCACGATGGCAGTGGCCTGCACCAGCCTGGCCTCCTTCCTGCCATCCCTTGCCACCATAGGATCAGGATTTCTTCACCAGATGGCAGCAGCACTGTCACTTCCCATTTACACGCCACTGACAGTTTTCTTTTGAGACAGAGTCTCGCTCTGTTGCCCTGGCTTGAGTGCAGTGGCACCATCTCGGCTCACTGCAACCTTTGCCTCCCGGGTTCAAGTGATTCTCCTGGCTTAGCCTCCCAAGTAGCTGGGATTACAGGCACACACCACCAGGCCTGGGTAATTTTTGTAGTTTTAGTACAGGTGGGGTTTCACCATGTTGGTCAGGCTAGTCTCTTAACTCCTGACCTCAAGCGATTCACCCACCTTGGCCTCCCAAAGTGCTGGGATTACAGGCCTAAGCCACCACACCCGGCCCAATGACAGTTTTCTAAGGGCTCCCACAAGAATCCAATGAGCTGACCAGAGCAGGTGTTGTGCTCCCTGAATTTCTGAGGTTAGTTGCTTCTGCAAGGCCCCATAGCTTGGCGTTGGGTCAGCACCAGCACAGAGCATGAGTGTCCGGTTGGGTTTTGGAGAATGATTCTGGAAGATGGCTGTTCCTTCTGCTTCAGGGTCACTTGAGGCCCAGTGACTGAGCACCTGGGGGTATATGGGAGCCCCTAACTCTGTGCTGCCTGCTACATCCACGTAGTTTCAGGCTGACCTTGCATCTAATGTTCATTCAGGAATAACAATCAGAAGCCAGGTGAATCCAACAGATCCCATTCTCACTGAGCTTTAGCAGTAACACTGGAGCTCGCTTGTATCTATTGGGCATGGACGGCAGATCTTTTGTAATTTGAATTCTACTTGTTTCCTATTTCTCCTTTGGAAAGGCTTGACGAACATATCAGCAAGATATAAAAATGAAAATGTCTTAGCCATTGGCAGCAGGACTAGGCAGGCCCATTCCACTTTTCTTTTTTAAGACAAGTCTTACTGTGTCGCCCAGGCTGGAGTGCAATGGCACGGTCTTGGCTCACTGCAACCTCTGCCTCCCAGGTTCAAGTGATTCTCCTGCCTCAGCCTCCCGGGTAGCTGGAACTACAGGCGCGTGCCACCACACCTAGCTAATTTTTTGTATTTTTATTAGAGACAGGGTTTCAGTGTCAGCCAGGATGCTCTTTATCTCCTGACCTCATGATCCGCCTGCCTCGGTCTCCCAAAGTGCTGGGATTACAGGTGTGAGCCACTGTGCCCCGGCTCATTCCACAATTTTTTTTTTTTGAGATGGAGTCTCGCTCGTCACCCAGGCTGGAGTGCAGGGGCACAATCTCGGCTCACTGCAAGCTCCGCTCCTGGGTTCATGCCATTCTCCGCTGCCTCAGCCTCCTGAGTAGCTGGGACTATGGCCGCCCGCCACGCCACCCAGCTCTTTTTTTGTTATTTTAGTAGAGACGGGTTTTCACCTTGTTAGCCAGGATGATCTCGATCTCCTGACCTTGTGATCTGCCCGTCTTGGCCTCCCAAGTCTGGGATACAGTGTGAGCCACGCGTGCCTGCTTTTTTTTTGTTTTTTTTGACACAGTGTTTCACTCGTTGCGCCCAGGCTGGGAGTGCAATCGGTGGTGGATCTCAGCTCACTGCAACCTCCGCCTTCCGGGTTCAAGTGATTCTCCTGCCTCAGCCTCCTGAATAGCTGAGACTACAGGCGTGTACCACCACACCCAGCTAATTTTGTATTTTTAGTAGAGACGGGGTTTCGCCATGTTGGTCAGGCTGGTCTCGAACTCCTGACCTCAGGTCATCCACCCGCCTTGGCCTCCCAAAGTGCTGGGATTACAGGTGTGAACCACCATGCCCAGCCTCCATTCCACATTTTAAAGCCCCCATCACTCTGATTTTACCACTAGAGCACCTGAAGGCTCATGTATGTGCAAGCTGGAGATACACTGTATGTATCTCCAGCCCATGCAGCCAGACCTGTTTCATATCCCTCAGGAAGGTGCAGGGTTTTATCGTCTTACCTCAGCTTCTTAGGGTGTGGGTCCCACAGCAGCGGTGCACCCCCAGGAGCTTGTGGGCAGGTAGCCTCAGCCCCACCCAGACCTGCTGAGGCAGAGCCTTGGTTTCACGAGCCCCTGGCTGACCCCTGTGCATAGTCAAGTTTGAGAAGGGCAGCTCCCCTGTTCGGGTCTAGCCCATCACTTGCATTTCTTAGGACTTTTATGGTCTCCATCTCTAAGGCAGTGGCAGCTTCCGAGCTGCCCTCTGTTCTGTATAGTCCTGGACTGTATTCACACCGGGGTGGGGCGGGAGGGGCTCCGTCCCTCTATTCTTTGCCGGATTCACTCCTAGACCACCTGTTTAATACGAGTGTTGGGGCTTGGGCACGATTCCGTGTGCCATTTCCTGTGCTGTGTGCATGTGGGGTAAGTTATCCTACAATGTTGTTCAACCCTCTCTGGTAACCCGGATGCCTGGCTCTGTCTCTGTCCCCAGGTGGACCCCTCGACCTCATGGCTTGCAGAGTGGTTGCTGCCAGCACCCGGGAGATGGCGATGCTCATAGCTCAGGCCTTACAGACGATTAACTATGGGCGGGATGATGAGAAGTGACCGTGGCTGAGGCAGAGCTGCTCTCGAGGCCTCCCTGGGCTGCTGTGGGCTCCTGGGGAGGTGGTCCTCCTGGCCCACGCTCCATGCCAGTGGCTCACACTCTGCTCCTGGCTACCCCAGAGGGAGCTGTCACGCTACAGTGAGTGGCTGGCCTTTTAAATCCACGTCTCTCTCACCAGGATTTGGTGTTTAGCTGTTTCTCTCTTTAATCTCACGTAGCCTTTTTCAGGTTAGTACGTGTTCCTCTGTCAGGGCCAAAACCCAGATCTCCTGTGAAATACGTATTGATAATCCAATCTTGATTTTTTCCCCCCAGAATATAAATCTCAGGTAATAAGGCTTTAGAACTGCTGATAAAGCGGATCGTTCTCAGGCCCTCCCCCCAGGGTACTTCAGAATGCAATAAATCAAAATAATGGCGCTCTGTGTATCTGTTTCCTGTGTAAGCGTGTGGCCTGATTCCCGAACAACTCTGGCTCTCATCCACTGCTGTGGATCTGTGCTCTCGGGAAGCTTTGCGAATGAAACCCAAAGTCCAGTGTGTGCCGACTGCTGCCTCTGATGAACCCCCTGAAGGTGACCCCAGTAATATCATGTGAGTGTTCAGAACCCAAGACATGGGACAGACAGAAGGAAACTAATCTCTGAAAGCTGCTGTTTCTGCGATCAGCTTTTTTTATTTTTGTTTGAGTTGGGGTCTTGCTCCATCTCCCAGCCTGGAGTGCAGTGGTGTGATTACAGCTCACTGTAGTCTTGACCTCAGGACTCAAGCGATCCCCCTGCTTTAGCCTTCTGAGTTGGGACCGCAGGCATGCACTACCATGCCAGGCTAAGTTTTAAAAAGTTTTCAGTAGAGATGGGGTCTCACTGTGTTGCCCAGGCTGGTCTCAAGCTCCTGGGCTCAAGTGATCCTCTCACCTCAGCCTTCCAAAGTGCTGGGATTGAATCACCACACCTGGCCCACCGGTGATCAAAGAGGGTCTTACTTGTTTCTCTTTAGGAGGCAGAATTGTATGTCAGAGTAATTCTAATGAGGCTATTAACTGGCTGGCCAGGTATCTTTCCTGAGGTTTAAGAATTGAGAAAGTCTTGGCCAGGTGCAGTGGCTCACATCCGTAATTCCAGCACTTTGGGGGGCCGAGGTGGGTGGATCACTTGAGGCCAAGAGTTTGAGACCAGCCTGGACAACATAATGAAACCCTATCTCTACTAAAAATACAAAAATTAGCTGGGTGTGGTGGTGCATGCCTGTAATTCCAGCTACTTGGGAGGCTGAGGCCTGAGAATCATTTGAACCCAGGAGGCAGAGGTTGCAGTGAGCTGAGATCGCACCACTGTACTCCAGCCTGGGTGACAGGAGAGACTGTCAAAAAAAAAAAAAAAAAAAAGATTAACTGAATTTAAAAAATAACACATTCCCAGAGGTTCACTGTAGGGTGAGCACTGTGTCCTGCCATGTTTGGAATCGTTCTGTCTTTGAAGAGGTGGAGTCTCTCCCCGGGCTGGCCTGGTGCCCTGGTCTTTCCAGCAACAGAGTTAGTTATAGTCATCTCTGAGACTGGCTTTTCTTTCATCTCTGGAGAGAGCTTGATTCGTCATCTTACTGCTTTGTCTGAACTAATTTTGTTTAGTAGGGCTTTTCAATGAATAGTGTGGATTTTTAAATGAGTTTAAAATATGCTCATGTTTCTCTAAATTGCTGATTATTCCTTTAGGCCTTCATTAGCCCATCTTAATTTTCTCAGAATATACTCCAAACAGATCTCAGTATCTATAAAGATGTGGAAGAAATTTCTTACATTCTCATGGATTTTGAGATGTCGTGCCTATTAGTCATGTAATGTCTTTTAGTTCTTAAGTGTTCTGTGGAAGTTTTCTTCAACAAAATAACTCTCCCAGCACTTTGGGAGGCTGAGGCAGGATTGAGGCCAGACCAGCCTGGGCAGCACAGCAAGACCCCATCTCTACAAAAAAACCCAAAAGTAGGTGGGTGTGGTGCCCAGGAAGGTCGAAGTGGGAAGCTCCTTTGAGCCCAGGAGTTTGAGGTTACAGTGAGCTATGATTGCACCCCTGCATTTCCAGCCTAAGCCACAGAATGAGACCCTGTCTCTACAATAAAAGTTTTTAATTAGCCAAGTGTGGTGGTGTGCGCCTGTAGTTGCAGATGCTTGGGAGGCTCAGGCAGGAAGATGGCTGGAACCCAGGAGGCTGAGGCTGCAGTGAGCCGTTATTGTGCCACTGCACTCCAGCCTGGGTGACAGAGCGAGACCCTGTCTCAACAAACAAAGAAAAAAACAAAAAGAACTGCCTCGCAGGAAAGGCCCTCCCGGCCCTTGTGTCAGGACAGCAGGAGGCCCTGGGGGAGCTTGAGCTGATGACTTCTGCTTCTGCTTCTGCTCTGTCCAGAGTCTCAGGCTGCCTTTAGCAGCAAGTTTTCCACACAAGCATCATCCCCGCGGCTTCAGGAGAAGCAGAGTGAACCTTGGAGAACAGGGAGGCACCCAAGGTAGGGACCTGTGGGCTTGCCTCATTCATCCCTGGACGAACCTCCCAGAAACAAGATGGGCTGCTCACCTCTGTGACCCTCAGAGTCGGCTCAACTGCTCGCCATGTCGTTTGGAGCTCTTACAAAACGATGCTCACCTATCGCTGGGGATGACGTTGATTCTGAATCCCACTCACAGGCTTCAGGATACTTTCCCTCATTTTTTTCCCTTCATTTCAACAGTTTTCACTGAGTGTCTTGTGGACACGAGTCATCAAATGTTTTGGTGCCTTTATGATCCAGTCCCAGATAAAAAGTAACACATTTGTCCTAGTGCATCACTGTCGTCACTCAGACCGACCAGGAGTCAGGACGCAGATTCACGTTCAGGCAGCTGTGTGGCCTTGAGAGGGCCCTGTCACCTCTCTGTTGGTGTTGGGTGAAGTCTGTACTGGGGGCCTGGCTGCCTCCCTCACAGGGTTGGGAGGATGTCCCAGGACAACGCCTGGAGAGTACCATGAAACCAGTGATGGAGGCAGTCTCAGTTGGCGTGGAGATTTATTTTGCCAAGGTTGAGGATGCGCCTGGGAGAACAACACAAGCCACGGTAGGATCTGTGGTCTGCACTTTTTTCCAAAAACGATTTTGGGCACTTCAGTATTTAAAGAGGAAAGAAAACAGAAGAGGGTATGGTCACATCCTTGATTAGAGCTCATTCATCCACATACTGAGCGTGAGGAGGGGGAAGAGGAACAGTGGGTTACATGGGGGAGATGGTATTTTTCCTCTCCTCTCATCCCTCACCAGGAAGATGAGCTGTTAATTTACAGTATCTGGGTGACAGAGGCCACCTGGGGAGACCCTGCCTTCTATCGCTAGCTGTTTTGTTGAGGAACAAAAGGCAGGTGTTCTGTGTGACTCAGCTTCCAAGCTTGCCTTTCCCCCTAGGCATAGTGAGTCCTCGGGTCTCCAGATTTTCCTTTCCATACACAGCAACTGTGGAAAGCCGGGTTGGTTTTTTGTTGTTTTTGTTTTTTACAGTTAAACATATTATTAAAGCATGAAAATACCATGATGTCTCCAATAACCAAATGTTACTGAAGAAAACTAGAAATATTTAGATTACACCCCAGCTTAGACAGACTTTGCCGGATTTATTAAGCCATTTACAATCAGTTCTATCATCCATACCCAAGACTTCAGGGCTAGAAAAATACATCCCATAGCTTTCCTAGTAGGAACCACATTCATCATTGCTTTTTTCCATGAAGGGAATGTATAAATACAGCAGCTTTTTGAAAACGTAAGCAGAGGCCCAAATCAGTGGCCTAAAACTTGAGTGATCTGGGGAGGCACCAGGCCATCTGAACCAGCGCTTTGTGTCTCTATCAGATGGTGGGACGTGCGGGGGCTATGCACGTCAGCACGGGGGGCCACTCAGCAGCGGGGTAAACTCTCTGTGCCCCTCTGTAATGAAATAAACTGCACTCCTGCCAGGACGGTGTGGATCAAATGAAATAGCGTATGCACGTGACTGCATCAGACAGACAGACAAGAGCAGAAAGACTGCAGAAGCCAGGACAGAGGACCCAGAGTCAAGGGCTTCTCACCCCAACTGCTTCCTGCCTCTTTCTCTGCCCTGGACTTCCCAGTTTCAGCCCCACAAATTGTGTAGTAAGAGTCAAGTGATGTCCAAATCCTGGGCTGTTCTTTACATGCTCAGGCCCTGAACCTTCACTTAACGATGCCACTTCTGCAAGGATGCTCCCCAGCCAGCCAGGCACTGCACCTGATGTTCCCCACAATACGGTTTACTACTTGGATCAGGATTAAGAGAAATGTTGAGATTTGACAGAAAAATTTTAAGTATGAGACACGAAAAAACAAAGGGAGGAAGAAATCTCAGTGACAGAGACCCTGATTTCAATCTTCCTGGATGTTCCCACTCCTTAGTGCAGGAAAATCTGAGACCTGAGATTACCCAGGATGAAAGCCATAGCATCTGAGCTAGGAAGCCAGCCAGTCCGAACCACGCTGCTTAATTTTTAACAACCAATTGCTCACATTCCTATTTAAACATCAAATTGAAAGCTCAAACTCCAAGTTGGCCTACTGTTGTTTTTCATTTCACATAAATGACAGAAAACCAAGAAGCCAGTTTAAACAGTATCTCCTGTTAGGAATATTAACATCAAAAACATTCAGAGTAAATTAATTCCTCTGAGTTTGTTTACTCACCTGAAAAACGAGGGTAAGAGAATGACTGTCAGGGCTACATGTAATAATATGGTGAAGCCACCTGAATGTGTGTGACAGGGTAACAGTGACTGCTGTAGGATTGACTATATGGTTTTCCACTAAAATTCTATAATGAGAATTAGAAAAAGTTAATCAAAATAACTTCTGATTGACCTCAAATGCTTTAAGATATAAGCAGATTGTATAATCCCTAGCATAGCTGGTGGTTCTCCTCTCCCTCCTGGTCCACAGGCCCCCAAAGGCTCTGGCCCCTTTATGATGTGGTGAATTACTATAGGTCAGGTGTCTCACTTCTGGGATGAGCAGCACATTGATGGTACAAGACCATCTTGAGTTCCTTTCTCTTATCAGTGGGATCTGTGGTCCCTTGTTCTGCCCTGAGAGCAGCAGACATGGGGCAGAGCTGACCTGTGTGGACACCTGGCATGAATGGAAATGAGCCTTTGTCATGTTAAACCAGAGATCTGAGGCTTATTACTGCAGCATAACACAGTCCCATCCTGACCGATCAACTTTTTATGAAGTCATACCTTCCCTGTAATGAGGCCATCGTATCTATAGTGGTGATTGTTCCATTAAGTTTATCAATATAAAGCCTACTGAATTATGAATTTATCAGTATGACTACTAAATTGTGGCCTAAAATCCATGAAATATGAAAAGACATGGGAACCAACTGAACAGTAATAAAGATACTTCAATCCAAATCAAGTAGGGGAAGATAGTGCCTTCAACCTGATTGTAGGTGCAGAATTCTTTCTATCCAAATCTCACTACAAAATGTTAAAGTAGGTTACAAAAAACCATAATAATAAACCCAAGGATGAAGACTTTAAAATGCCATGGTCCGCTGCTTTGTGAACTGAATTCGAAGCTGAAAGGCACAGTCCTGGTGTGCCCCACTGACATGGTACAAAAACTAAAGTGAAAAAGAAGGCCGACCATGCTCACCTGCGTATGCACAGAATCTCCTGCAAGAACTTAGCACTCACAGCACACATCTCAGTCTTTGCACTCCAACTGTGCTGTGGTCCCAACAGCATTTTGGCCCTCCCAAGAAGGTAAATTTGTTCTTCTTATTTGGCTAAATTAAATGATTTACCCTGGGTTAAGTAGAGAAATAAGTATTTCATATTGATAAAGTCAACTTTAGTGATAATACTTTATAGTTATGTTCAGGAATAAATTTTATGATCGTTATGATAATCTGTGCAGGTTTACATTTAAGGTTCTTTTTTTTTTTTTTTTTTTTTTTTGAGACGGAGTCTCGCTCTGTCGCCCAGGCTGGAGTGCAGTGGCCGGATCTCAGCTCACTGCAAGCCCCGCCTCCCGGGTTCACGCCATTCTCCGGCCTCAGCCTCCCGAGTAGCTGGGACTACAGGCGCCCGCCACCTCGCCCGGCTAGTTTTTTGTATTTCTTAATAGAGACGGGGTTTCACCGTGTTAGCCAGGATGGTCTTGATCTCCTGACCTCGTGATCCGCCCGTCTCGGCCTCCCAAAGTGCTGGGATTACAGGCTTGAGCCACCGCGCCCGGCCACATTTAAGGTTCTTAAAATATTTAACAAAATCTTACATATTCCCCTTTTGATTTTCAATGTTTGTGATTGAGAATTTTTCACAAACAGTATTTGAAAATCTGAAAGCTCAAATTACCATATGTGTAATGTTGGATTTACTAGCTTTATAAGGATTACTTCAGTACTTAGAAAAATTTTTTAAAGTTTTAAGGCTGTTTAAATTAGGCCCCTTGAAAAATTTAAGAGAGTCAGATATTAAAAAAACCTGTAAAGGTAATGTAACTCTGTGGGAGCTAATAAGCCAAGTTTGTGAAGTGGAGGTAATTATCTGACGGCATTTTATTCAGGGTCCTTGAGTATTAATTAAAAGCCATGTAAGTTGTTTCTGTGCACAAAACCTCGTTAGAATAAAAACAATCGAGTGGAAAGTTTGTTTTCCTTTTTCAAAATTGGTGTTCGCCTCAGTCCTTTTTACTTACAAGATGTTTTTAATGTCCTTAAATTTAACTCATCACATTAAAGTCATTATTGACCCTTTCTTGATGAGTCGAATGAAAGTAATGCGGGGGGTGACAGCGGAAGGTGGACTTTGGTTATCCTTCCTGGCTATCTCCTCTTGCTGCTACAAACACAACAGTGATCACAAACCACATTCAAGACACTCCAAGGTGTCCTGGAACAAATACAAAATCACACGATGTCCGACAGTCACTCCTTCTGCATTCTTTCTTACTCCAACTTCTCCTGAATCCAGGTATCAAATTATATTATTAATTTCCATTCCACGAAAGACAGGGATAATATTACATAGCTAGCATCCAATAAATGTCTGATTGTAAGTAAATCTGCCAGTAATTAAGGTGCTAATTATGTAAACAATTTCACATCAGTTCTCTTAGCCTCCTAATCATATATGGTTTTATCTCACTTAACCCAATCAAATCTTGGAAGATGTATTAGTCTTCCATCTCACCAAACAGCAGTATATTAAAGTATTACAATAACTGAATGACTGGTATTTTACCTTCCCAAAGGTACCTTACTCCCAAAGAGCAGAAAAGACAACTGCAGATAACAAAATACTGTCCTTGTAAAATAATGCTGAAGTCATATAATTAAGAGAATGTGTCCCTGGAAAAAAGAAAATTAACAAGCTAAACAAAATAAATAATACAAAGAATAATCATATTTACATAGTTTCAGGTTTTATTTTCATAATTATCTTCCTATAGAAGCAATACTCTGCATTTCCATAACAACACATTTAATATTCTACTCATCAGAGTTGGAAAAATAGGAATAAAGCAGATTCCATACACGAATACCATACTCTGCATATGTACAAATAAATTCAATATATTAAATCTATTTTGTAGGTGGACTTCACTTACAACGTAACAGAATGTTGAATAGTAGATTCTAAGCATATTCATGCAGACTTCCACTTTGGTGAAAGCAATGACAGTGGAGTTCTGGAAGACAATTTTTGTAAACACCAAGTTTTACACTTTGGACTATGCTCTCAAGATAGAAACTTATGTGAGTGGAAAAAGAAAATGTATAAATGTGAACCAAATATTCTTTACCACATAGAATAACCCTGACAACAAAGAATATCCCCAAGTCCTGGTTATCCAGTCCTCACCGGGGGCAGGAAGGGTGAAGGAGGCTGCCCTTGGACACAGCCTTCTGTGTGGTTTAAAGCCCAGCTGCGCTGCTGCTACAGAATGCACTTCATCATCACCTTTTTAAAAAAAAGTTTTCAGTACATGAGACAACTTTTTTCCCCCAAGACTTTAAGGGTAATATGATCTATAAATAAATAGTCTACAATACCTTTAAAGTATTGTCAAATCTGTTTAAACAGATTACTGATTAGCTCAAATGAGCATTAATGTAAGACACCAGAAGTTTCTGATTGGATCTAAAGGATACAAGCTGCAATGATGGGATCTTTGAAACACTGCAATGTCCTTAAATGCAAATGTCTACACATAGCTTGTTCATAGTTAATCCCAATATCATTAATAAAAATGAGCTGCTACCTGAAGAACTATGCCAATAAATTAAGGAAGAAAAACATTAAATTTATTAGCGTTTTGTATCAGACCTAAAATAAAGACCGTATACCAACATTCACGCACCCAAGACCACCTCCCAAAGGAGGATGTTATTCTGTCTAAGCTCTCCCACAGAACTAACTGTGACTAAAGTCACTTCTGATACTCCACCTTGGTGTTCTCAGAAAGTCTAGCAAAATCAAGCATCCTCTACTTAAATAAGTTATGACTCTAAAAGAGACAGAGACGGGCATGAATCAGCAGGAAACTTCTTCGGCAGCGTGTACCTGCAGAATGCACACTACTGGTGTTTGCAGCCTCTTTCCAATTAACAGATTATGAGATAGGTCTGAGCCACACAGGGTGATAAAGGAATGTTTCGAAAACAGCATTTTAGGAAATAACTACAAAGGATCAATATATTAGCAGTGCGGTGTTTTAAATATGTCTTTCTAAAACGATTCTTCCCTTTCAGCTAAGTTTTCAGAGTACATAGCATTTTCTTTTTTTTTTGAGACAGAGTCTCACTCTGTCGCCCAGCCTGCAGTGCAGCGAGTGGCACGATCTCGGCTCACTACAAGCTCTGCCTCCCGGGTTTACGCCATTCTCCCGCCTCAGCCTCCCAAGTAGCTGGGACTACAGGCGCCCGCCACCATGCCCGGCTAATTTTTTTTGTATTTTTAGTAGAGACTAGGGGTTTCACCATGTTAGCCAGGATGGTCTCGATCTCCTGACCTTGTGATCTGCCAGCCTTGGCCTCCCAAAGTGCTGGGATTACAGGCATGAGCCACCGCGCCTGGCCTATATAGCATTTTCCATGTCAACTTAAGACGGAGTTACAATAAAACAAACCAAATTATTTTGGAGGGAAGAAATATATCTGTATTAGATTGATGGAAACATTACCTCATTCTTACAATGTTAGAAAGATATTCGTAGGCTGAGTGAGGGGGCTTATGTCTACAATCCCAGCACTTTGGGAGGCCAAGACAGGCAGATGGCTTGAGCTTAGGAGTTTGAGAACAGCCTGTGCAACATGGAGCAACCCCATCTCTACAAAAAATAGCCAAAAAAAAAAAATTAGCCTGGCATGGTGGTGCATGCCTGTAGTCCCAGCTACTCAGGACTGAGGTGGCAGAATCACCTGAGTCCAGGAGAGGCTGCAGGGAGCTGTGATCGCACCGCTGCACTCCCGCCTGGGCAACAGAGTAAGACCCTTAAAAAAACAACAAAACCCCCGAAGGTATTCATTACCCATGAGCTCCTATTTGGTCAAGAACCAAGTAGATTTGAAGACAGTCACTGTATGTACTTTTTAGATAGAAGAAATACCCACACTTCAGAGAGGACTGAAGATATTTATAGAATCACTTTAATACGCTACCTTCAAAATTTTTCAAACTCATAATAAGAGCTTCAATCCATCTTTTATTGGGCTAAATAATATTGTAAGGCTCAAAATAACTTCCTGTCTCCATCTCATCTCTGAAAAGACTTAATAATTTAAATGTTATCTAACATCATGGGGGTAAATTTCCTTTCCAAAACAAATTTTAAAATAATTTTTTATCAGTAAACATCACTTTTAGCAGCAATTATTAAGTAAAATGTAAAAAACAATTCACTAACAGTAACTTACAAGCGTCCAAGAGAGAAGAATACCTATGCTTATTACCCCTTTTGTTTAGAACATAATTTATGTATAATTTGGCTTGCAAATTTTTTCATCAACTATATTAAAACATAGACAGTCCATTTTCTGTAAATTCCTGCTGGTGTCTTAGAAAAGCTCTTATGGAAAGAAAAAGATATGCTTCACAGGTAATGCATACAATGAGTGATTTGGGGAGATGGTAACTAAAGATCCTAAGTCTTTATTAGGATCCAACATGACTGTAATGAAGTACGTATATCCCTAATCTATTCCCAAGTCCTTGAAATGGCATGTCAGGATTTTTACCTTTGTTTCCCTTTTCTTTTCAGCAAGCAAAATACTAGCATAGTCCTCCTGAGTATTCGTCTTCCTCTTCATCAGCAGCTGTGGCAGTGACACCATCAGGCTTGGCCTGTGGTGTTGCGGGTGATTTCTTCTTGATTCCCCCTCCTGGAACCACCAAACTCAGGCCCAGCTTAGCATACTGTCAACAACAGAGCATGTTCTTAAAAGCTGGATAACTAGAATCCTGACACGTTTTACTCAGCTCTAAAAAGACAGCCTGGCTCTCCGCCCTCATGACCACCAATTCTACCATTCAGATGGAAAACAAAACCCAGTAACGCTGTTCTCCAGATGCCTCATGGCCACGGTGGGGCAGGTACACAACTAGTAAAAGTATCAATTATAATTTCTTAATTAAAACAGGTACTTACAAATCCACTGAAAAAATAGAACAAATAGAAACTTATAGTCCTGGTTCACTTTACATGCAAGGCATCACGTGAGGATGTTTCTCACACACTGACTAATGTATTCCTCACAACAGTCCAGCAAGACAGGTACTAGGGGCTTCATTTTACAAATGAATTAACTGAGGTTTAGAGATAATTAGTGACCTGCAACACGTGGCTAGTCATCACGGATTCCCACAAGTCTACTGAATTACAAAGGCCACTACAGAATGGGTCTCTTTCAGACAGTCCGTCTAAAAGAAACGAGTAAAAGCAACCTATGCAGGACAACAGATAGAGGAAAAGTTGAGAAATAAGCTTGAATTTTAAAATATGTATATGGTCAACAGTTAGACGGGTGAGTAAATGGCTATAAACCACACAACTACCATCTATTTTATCTAAATCTATGGTGAAATTCAATGCAAGTGGTCAGTTTCCTTATGAGTAGTAGTTTGAGAAGAAAAAAAGAGGTAGGAAAAAATCTCTTTAAGTACACGGGTAAAAATCTCACTAGAAACCTTTCTTTCAAGAGAAAAGACGAAAGCTACGCAAACAGGTCCACTTACATCATTGTCCATGTACTTGAAAAGCGGTGAGTTGCAGACATCAGACACTTGATCTTGGTCCTGCTGGTCATAACCTTCAAGAAGCTGTTCCAGCGCAGCACAGTCTTCACTGCCATTGAACCCGGGGATGCTGCAGTAAGCACAAATCACACGTCTTCACCTTCTCCTTCAAAGAACACAACTCAGGCAGGGATGATTCTGCCCCTGGCATGTGACAATGTCTGGAGACATTCTGGTAATTAAAAGTGTGGGAATGCTAGTGGCATCTAGAGGGCAGAGACCGGGGATCCCACTAACCAGCCTGCCGTGCACGGGACAGGCCCGACCACAAAGAATCATCCAGCCCAAATGTTAACAGTGTTGAGATTAAGACTGCTCATGTTAAACACTAAGAAAATCCCTCATTTTGATTTCTGTAACATACAATCTGAGAATTTTTTTCTCCTTTTTCTTATTCTTTTTTTCTTAGAAGGCAAATAAAACAAAATGACTAAAATGACTAAAGTCATTCACTTCCATGGAGGTCCCCAAGAGAAAAATACAGGAAAGGAAACAAACAAACAAAAAACAAAACGTGTAAAATGCCCACTGTAAAAGATGAAATGGTAGACGAGCACTCCTAAGATTTAGAAATAACAGCCTCATGGCCAGGAACATTTGTCCTAGCAGCAATCTTAGCTGTAGAAACAGAAATGCTAACACTCCAAGTCAAGAGGGCCCAGACAACGTCTTACCTATAGCTCTCCCGGACACATCTTTCTGCAGCTACATAGTCATTTCTGTGTAGATGAACTAAGACTTGAGCAATGGTTTTCTAAAACAAAAGAGAGGATCATGGTCAAATTTATATCTGTTTAATAAAGTCAGTATCCTGGTAGTATTACAAACACCTGGAGTTTAACTTTCAGAGTCTTTGTTTGTAGAAACAGAGATTTATAAATGCTGTAGTAACTTCTACGGGACACCCGAGGGGAAATACCCTAGAACAGTACTTTCCCAACTCTCACTTCCTGGGATTTGGCTGCTTGGGGCAAGTCTGGGATTCACCCATTTCTAACAAGTTCCAGGGGACACTCTTACTACTGGTCTGGGGACCACACTTTGACACAAGCCTTAGATCACAACCACATTTTAAAGAGAATCTCTTTCAAATATCTACACAGATTCAAGCTTGAAAAGTGAATAAAAAAGAAGAGGGGGGCGACCATAATTCCACAATGATACTTAGAATCTTTAAAAAGAAACTAGGAAAAAGATGTATGAGTGAAAACTTCAGATAACAGAAACAATGATAGTATTGATAAGTCAATGATAAAAGCAGTAATAAGATCAAGGATATGACTGATAAATTATTGGCAAAATAGGTCTTTATGAAGTATTTTTCCATCTTTTTGATCTGTATTGTTTAGGTAACTTTTACTGATTTATCTTCAAATTCACAAAGTCTTCCTTCTGTCATCTCTGAGATTAAGCTTATCCAGTATTTTATTTCAATCATGTATTTTCCAGTCCTAAAATTCCCATTTAGTTCATTTTTATAGTTTCTATAAAAACAATTTTTCCTATAAAAAACAACAGGTCCTCTTTTCTATTCATTTCAATTGTCTTTATCTTTACCTCATGAAGCAACTGTAAGTCTTTATGTGATAATGCCAAAAACCCTGGTCACTGCCGGGTTGCCATCAGTTGTCTTTTCTCCTGAAAACTGGTCATATTTCCAGGTTCTTGCATGTTAATTCTGGATTGTACTGTGAATGTGATGCTGCACGGCCTCTGTTTAATTTTCAGGAGAGTATGGATATTTTCAGCAGGCAATCACCCCAGTTAGGTTCAGACTACATGTGGTGCCTTGTTTTTGGTGGATGGAAGTTCTACACTCAGTTCAAATCCTTTGCTATGTGGCCTTGGGCCTGTTCCATGCATAAGCCCTTCAGAGGGCAGGGCGACACTTCGACGGTGATGAGATCTTAGCTCTCCAACCTCTGCACTGCACTGCTACTTTGGTGCCTGTCTCAGTACAGCTGAAGAGTAAGCCCAAGACCTGTGTGGGCCACATCCGCACTCTGGGGACTCCGTTTCCAGCTCTCTCCTTTCTGGAATTTTCTCCTTTCTCTCTAGCTCATTTTCCTAGTTCCTCTGGCAAAAGAGACTGGGGTCCTTCTGGCGTTTTATCAATCTGAGCCATCATCACAGTGCAGCTCCATGCCTGGGCACAAGCTTGGAGCAAAGAAAAAGGAGAGGAAAACAATGGGACCTCTTCTCCCAGTGCTGGTTAGAAAGGCGGGGTTCCTTTTGGAGTTTTCACTGTTGCAGCCTTTGCTGCCCAGCTCCACAACTGCGGGCTTCTCTCATGGCAGGGCAATGCTGCAAGACAAAATGGAAAAAACCCCCGAGAAACTCACTCCCACGGTGGTTGTTTCTCCAAGTGTTTGCTCCTCTCATTAGTCTGTTTTTATTTACTTTTCAGAGTTCAAGGGTGGTTGCTTTTGTATTTTATCCAGTAGTTTAGTTGTAATCAGCAGAGAGACAAGCTGCAGTGGGCTTACTCTATCTTGGTCAAAAATAGAGGCCCAGGAAGTATTATTTTACAAAAACACAGAAACAGCCATAGAATCCTTTCTTAGGTACTTATTCATACCAGTATAAAAAATCATCTAATGTAACACCAAAAACAAACACTTTCAAAGAATACCTTATAACAAGTTGGATAATTCTCAATTTCCTTATAAATATTTTTTTCTTTCTGAATAGAGAGTGCCGCCTCATCAAACCTAAAACGAAACACAGAAATGTGAAACAAGCAGGTCTAAATGATCGATAGCAGAGGTGCCCTGAGAAATGTGCTTTGCATCATAGACTGCAGAGACACCCGGAGGACAGGCGTTGTCAGCAGCTGCCCCAGGACCCAGGTTTCCACCCGCTCTGCTCATTTGGCTTGCCTTTCAAATGTCTGACCGCCCACTTTCAAGCTGCACAGTGACAGCAAACGCAAAGATCTCAAGGATGGTTAGGTCAAATGGGGAGTTTGAAGCTTGGTAAGGACTGTCCAATAATGAGTATCACAACTTCTTTCTGATACCTATTTGAGACGATCTTCGATTAAATCACCCAAGATTTCTTTCCGCCCGACTGAAAGAACATCCTGACACCCAAGGCACTCAGTACCTTCCCCCAACTGTGTCCCTCCATCACATTCTCGCTGCTGCCCCAGGGGCCCTAGCAAGCTCTGAAGTGCCTAAAAGGGCAGCACTGAGGGGTGGCAAGTCAGAGACCTAAACAAAAGTCTTCCTGTATCTTCAATCTTCAACATTCATCTTTTCCACTGACCCTCATACATTCTCCTTTTCTTCCATTTTGCCTAATGGCAGAATGAAGATGAAAGCAAGGAAAGGGGTCACCAAAACTTTTTCCCCAAACCCTCCAGGCCCTTACCCCTTTTTCACTCCCCCAGCCCTAATTCCATCAAACCCTAATTGAATCCTCCCCTCCCTGCAAAGCTGTAGTATACTCCAAATGCCAGGACTCCCTGAGTAGTACAACTTGAGACTTAGTGAAATGCACAGTCTGTAGCCATTGCTGTCATCCCAATATGAGTTCAAGGTTATGGCAGCAACTACCAGGGGTCTGGGCATTGGGAATATACACAACCAACAGCCAAAAGGGGAAGAGTCTGTACTATCGGGATTCAAAGGGAGGTAAGTGGTATTATAACCCAAAATAAAAATACAAAAATGTTTTTTTTGTTTTTTTTTTTTTTTTGAGACGGAGTCTCGCTGTGTCGCCCAGGCTGGAGTGCAGTGGCGCGATCTCGGCTCACTGCAAGCTCCGCCTCCCGGGTTCACGCCATTCTCCCGCCTCAGCCTCCGAGTAGCTGGGACTACAGGCGCCCGCCACCACGCCCGGCTAGTTTTTTGTATTTTTAGTAGAGACGGGGTTTCACCATGTTAGCCAGGATGGTCTCGATCTCCTGACCTCGTGATCCACCTGCCTCGGCCTCCCAAAGTGCTGGGATTACAGGCTTGAGCCACCGCGCCCGGCCCAAAAATGTTATGCTATATGATTTTTTTTTTTTGAGACAGAGTCTCACTCTGTTGCCCAGGCTGGAGTGCAGTGGTGTGATCTCGGCTCCCCGCAACCTCTGCCTCCTGGGTTCAAGCGATTCGCCTGCCTTAGCCTCACAAGTAGCTCGGATTACTGGAGCCTGCCACCACGCCCAGCTAATTTTTGTAGTTTTAATAGAGATGGGGTTTTCCATGTTGGCCAGGCTGGTCTCGAACTCCTGACTTCAGGTGATCCACCTGCCTTGGCCTCCCAAAGTGCTGGGATTACAGGCGTGAGCCACTGCACCCAGCTTATATGTTATCTTTTTTAAAATAGTTGCATGTATACAGACACACACACCACACACACAGTGGCTTGGCTTATGCTATTATGGCTACTTACATCATGAGTTAAACTGAATCTTTATGGGATGCATCCTGGTAACTTAGTGCCTTATAAAATAACACTCAGAGAAGAAATGCGTTCTGAATTTCCACAGGTCAACTTGATAAAGTTTTGGAACAAAGTCAATTTATAAACTGGGTTTGGCAGCAGAATTCTAAGAGTGCTCCCAGTTCTTGCCCCTTGTAAACATTTCCTGCATAATCCCCCTTTAAGTGTAGGTGTGACCCTCGGAATACGATGGGCCATCCTGTGATTAGGACACAAATCAGCTGACCTCCAGTGAATCACTGTCTGTGTGGGCCTGACTTAATCAGGCGGGCCCTTCCTTAAGTTAGAGGCCAGAAACCAGAGTGACGTGCTCCCGATGCCTCCAATCAGCAGCAAACTGCCATGCTGTGAACCACCAAGGGGGGCACATGGCCAGGAACTCAAGGCGAACTCAAAGCTGAGAACAGTTCCTGGCCAATAGGCAACAGGAAAACAGGAATCTCTTTCACACAGCTGCAAGGAAATCAATTCTGCCAACAATCAATGAGCTTGGAAAAGGACCCAAGCCTCTAGTGAGATCACAGCCCGCTCTGACACCTTGATTTCAGCCTGGTGAGACCCTAGCTCTGCTACCTAGCTACACTAGGATCGAGCTACACCGTATCCAGACTTCTGGCCTTGTGAAACTGTGAGCTAATTAGTGAGTACTGTTTTAAGTTGCTAAGTTTGTAGCAATTTGCTATGCAGAAATACAAAATTAATGCAAGGCAGACTACAGCTAAATGTATCTATATTATTTATAATTGTGACCCTGAGCTTATAACAGATCCTGTTTTATAAAATAAATTACATCAGAATATTCTGTGCCCACAGTGTCCAGATTATATCATTCTATTAGCAATCTCAGTATTTTAAACTTTTCATATATTTAACTATAAAGGGTGCATTCTTTACACCTAAACTGTTTATTTCCTTGACATAATAATAGCATTTCTATGTGCTAATATATACTTACCTAACAAAAAAGCCAAGCACTTACATGAGTTTGTAGTTGAAAAAGTTGATCGACTTTGCTAAAAGGCCATGAAATTAGCATATAAAGCCATCTATTTTTAAATGTATCCCGAAAAGTATTAGTTACTTATTATAATGAAACACAGATGATTTCAACTTTCCCCTCAGGTAATACTCAATATTCCTAACAAAATGACAAGAATCTGGTTTTGCTGAAAAAAGAATAAATTGCTTTTATCTTCCCCAAATGAAACAAAACTGAAACCAGACAGAAGTTATGTGCAAACGGCAGAAAACTGTCACAGAACCTCATTCACCCCCAAGCTTTCAACAGACCCTTCCTCAGCACAACTCAAATTCTTCCTCTGGCCCCAACTATTTCCCGAACTCCAACACCTATTTCTACCTACCTACAGAAATGTCGAGTTTATGTGTCATATTCCCAACGAAGTTTATGATCATCACCGAGAAGTTTGCGTCTATATTCCTTATGTTACTAATGGCACCATGGGCAGAACAGTTACGCAAGACGGAAATCCAGTGATTCTCCTTAATAGCACACACCCCACCCCTGAACATATACACACCCAGCCCTCCCTGTGTTTAGGATCTAGTGACTGTCTCAGACAACTGGTGAGAAGCAGCTCTTTTCTTTGCTAACTGAATCTTCTAGCAGGGATTTGGGTTCACTGAGACCAGACACCTTGTCTCAGAGGTATAGACCTTCTCTCAGAGGCACAAGGTCATGATCAACTTGCTGCAAAGGCCTTTTCTATATATATATATTTTTTGAGATGGAGTCTCACTGCAACCTGCGCCTCCTGGGTTCAAGCGATTCTCCAGCCTCCTGAGCAGCTGGGATTACAGGTGGGCGCCATCACGCCCAGCTAATTTTTGTATTTTTAGTAGAGGAGGAATTTTGCCATGTTGGCCAGGCTAATCTTGAATTTCTGACCTCAGGTGATTAATCTGCCTCGGCCTCCCAAAGTGGTGTGATTACAGGCATGAGCCACTGCACCCAGCCTAGAAAGGCCTTTTCTAAAAAGGAACAAGGGCACTGGCCTTGGACTGCCTTTAAGACCATCCCAGATGTAATCTAAATGAAACTCTGAATCACTTCTGAACTATGACTCTCTAGAACTGAAGGAGAAGCAAGAAATTAATATGTTAAATAGATTAACTTTGCTACACTAACATAAAAAGTATTAAATTAGGACATCTTAACAGACTCATGTTAATGTAAAAAGAAAAAAAAAACCCAATAAAGCAAAGTCATGAATAAAAGTCCTAGATTTATAAATGTGCCCTTTGAGCACATCTACGCAGCATTCTCACTTCTGCTGCTCATTCAACTAGCATTCTCCCCTCTGCTGAGGCTTCGAAGAATCTAACTCAGTACTTGCTTTAGAACAATAGTTTTCTTTAGATGTGTCCAAACCGACTGGCAACATTGGTAATGTTTTGAGGATGGTGGTGGCCCCCATCCCTAGTGGAGCTTTCTAAAGGAATATGCACAGGCAGCTGGAAAACATTCCTCACCTGACCTCCCCCAAAAGATCCTGGCCTCTTCCCTTTCCTGTGCTACTCCCTCTACCACACAGCTTTAGATAATCTACAGCTTGAGAAACAAAAGCAAAGAAGATGTGGAAAGCAGAAATACTTCAGGGGAGCTGAGGCAGTGTGGACTCTCACACAGGGCTGTCCTCAACTTCTGCCCCTTCCTGCAACTTCACTTCCTCCACCTTCCATGGGGTCTTATAGTAAGGGGCTTAGCGCTCTAGAAAGGCACTGGGAGCCTTGTTGGGGAGCATCAGGAGGTGAGAAGAGATGAGAAAGGAGGTAAAGTACGCTAAAACTTCCTCCTGGTTGCCCTGAAAGAATGAAGGACACTGTTTCTAAGACGTGGGGCCGCTGCTCACAAGTCAGAACCTCGGTATCACCTCACAGTTCAGCTATTCTGCCACAGTCATTGCGCCATCACCAAGAACAGCTCTGCTGCTGTAACAAACACCTTCAGAAACTAAACTGAATCATTTTTAACTTGGGAACTGTCAGAGTTAGCATTTCAGTCACTGATTTCTGGGAAGCAACAAGTAATAAGATGAATAAAGGTAATGACCCCGGACTGACATTTAAATTAAACTTTGCTTCATGATTAAAGTCCTAATTTAAAAACAAAATGAAATTTCCATTCCATTTAGATCAAACAAACAAACAAAAAACTACTCAGTGAAGGAAGGTCCTATAAACAAAGTAGTCTATCTAAATGAGATTAACAGTTAATTCTAGATTAATTTATTCTCATGTTACTCTAGACTGGTTTAAATTATATTTCAGAACCTGCAGTCTTCATGAAGAAAAAATTTAATTCAGTCTCAGAAAGGATAGATTCATCAGTCATTTCTATTTTGATTCCTTGACACACGAAATGGATCTTGCGTCTTTTCCGTTACTGGGAAGCTTTGTGCAAATTTCAGTTAAGATATCTGCAGACCTACAACCTCCTAAAGATGTTTATCTTAAATATTATTGAGACAGAATTTTATTAATGAAAGAAACTGCTTACTAAAAGTAAACTGAGATAAAGTAAAAAAAAAAAGGAAATCCCAATAGGTTTTTAGCTTTCTGAGGTTCAACTATTTGTGCTTCAGGTCACATGTTGCAAGGTAAATATTGTAAATATTGTATTAATGACACTATTTGTCAAGAACCTGTCAATTTTCTTTTTTTTTTTTTTTTGAGAGGGAGTCTCGCGCTGTCGCCCAGGCTGGAGTGCAGTGGCCGGATCTCAGCTCACTGCAAGCTCCGCCTCCTGGGTTTTCTCCCGCCTCAGCCTCCGAGTAGCTGGGACTACAGGCGCCCGCCACCACGCCCGGCTAGTTTTTTGTATTTTTAGTAGAGACGGGGTTTCACCATCTCGATCTCCTGACCTCGTGATCCGCCCGTCTTGGCCTCCCAAAGTGCTGGGATTACAGGCTTGAGCCACCGCGCCCGGCCGAACCTGTCAATTTTCATGGGTGTTTATGCATCTTTGTCATTTATCCTAATATTCTTATTTTTCCTTGAGAGAGGTATCACAACCCAACCAAATAACACGAAGAAAACGGTTCCGTCTCAGGTTGCTGAGCCAGGGTTCAACCAAAAAAGCACAGTGCATGATAAATTTGGGCATTACACTTTCAAAAAACAGCAGATCTTTTAATATCTAATTCAGTGTGCCTACTGTCTAATAAATGTTAATGTTTATTGTATGGCCTGGTGTGTCTACAGCTTATACCAAAAAATTAACAAGCTTTCCCCCAAATGACTTTCCAGTTCCAAATGTGGATTCAAAGTGTAAAGACACAGCAATAGTTTTTAAAGACATACCTACGTCCTCGTACTAGTAGTCTGGAGGCTTTTCCTAGTAATTCAACTGCCTGCCGTAAGCGTTCTTCATTCTGAAGGAATCAAAGACAAACAAGTGTTGGCTGCTTTAATGCTGAAATGTTTTTATCCCACAATATTTATTTTGTAAAGAAGTAATGGCACTGGATCAAGGGGGGAACACGAAAGCTGCTAGTCCATTTCACTACTCTCTAACAGAAAAGAAATAGCGCGCAACTGTGAGCAGGGAAAAGTTTTAAAAGTAGCCACTGCATTTCTCTATTTTCCTATATATTATTAATCTAAACATTCTAAGTAATTAAAGAAAAAAATAAGATTCAAACTTACTTCAAACACATTAGCTGTCTGTTGATATAACTGTACAGCCTTCTCTGGATCAACATTTTCTATAAGCCTGAATTAGACAAGAAAATGTGACTCACACGAGAAGTGGAAAGCTTGTTTTTTAAGGACTTCTTTAAAATAAAGACAAGACTTCTATGCAGAGACTCGTCCATCTCACACTCACTTTCCAGCTCGCTCCAAAGCCATGGCTGCAGTGTCTGGGGTGCCGTTTTCCAGATACATCATGCTGGCTTTCTCAATGAGCTGAACAGCCTCTGGTAGTTTCTGCATCTCCTTTGGGCAAAGGATACAGCACAGGTCAGAAAATGCATCAGTTAAAGAAAAACAGAGTTAACAATCTGAAATGCAATTTTTTTAAATTTTAAGTTCTGGGACACATGTGCAGAACGTGCAGGTTTGTTACATAGGTATACATGTGCCATGGTGGTTTGCTATACCTATCAACTCATCATCTAGGATTTAAGCCCCGCATGTATTAGGTATTTGTCCCAGTGCTCTCCCTCCCCTTAATCCCCACCCCCCCGACAGGCCCCGGAGTGTAATACTCCCCTCCCTGTGTCCATATGTTCTTGTAGTTCAATTCCCACTTAGAAGTGAGAACATGCGGAGTTTCATTTTCTGCTCCTGTGTTAGTTTGCTGAGAATGATGGCTTCCAGTTTCATCCATGTCCCTGCAAAGGACATGATCTCATTCTTTTTTACAGCTGCATAGTATTCCATAGTGTATATGTACCACATTTTCTTTATCCAGTCTCTCACTGATGGGCATTTGGGTTGGTTCCATGTCTTTGCTATTGTGAATGGTGGTGCAATTAACATACGTGTGCATGTGTCTTTATAGTAGAATGATTTATGTTCCTTTGGGCACATGCCCAGTAATGGGATTGCTGGGTCAAATGGTACTTCTGGTTCTAGATCCTTGAGGAATCGCCACACTGTCTTCCACAATGGTTTAACTAATTTACACTCCCACCAAGAGTATAAAAACTTTCCTATTTCTCCACAGCCTGGCCAGCATCTATTGTTTCCTACTTCTTAATCATTGCCATTCCGACTGGCATGAGATCTCATTGTGGTTTTGATTTGCATTTCTCTAATGATCAGTGATGAGGAGCTGTTTTTCATGTTTGTTGGCCACATGTCTTCTTTTTCTATAAGGAACTTAAATTTACAAGAAAAAAACAACCCCATCAAAGAGTGGGCAAAGGATATGAAATGCAATTATTTTATCCCTAATTCCTGAAAGTAAATGACTCAAAAACATTGTATAGCAATAAATATATTTAAAATGAAATGCTTCACATGATTACTCTCCCAATCAAGCCTCATTAAACCCAACCAAAAAGGTACCAGGTAATTTCTACACAGAGTTCATCGCCACTTCACAGACCTTTGGGAAATCTATGAAAACAGAAAAAAACCAAAAACCTTGCTCTTCACTGTTTTCTAAGCATTTCTTATTCTTTAACTATTTACCAAGTCCCTACGACATACAAGACCTCTGCCAAAGATCACAAACTGGCAGCCCAACGACTCTATCTCACTTTCAAGTGTGTTTTGCTTGATCCATGCAGTATTTTAAAATTAGACACTTTCATGAAAATTCTGTTTTATGGCTTTCCTCAAAAAAATATCAAAAGCTACAGCATCAGCAGGCTTGCATCCCTGTATGGCAACAAGCTGGGGCTGGGCAGCACCGTCCCGCCAGATGAGCACGCACCTCCTGGCACTTCTCCCTGCTCTTCACTTCCAAATGCCCTCCGCGTCCTGGTTGCTCACTCATTTCACTTATTCCTCTATACCCTGAGTTCATCTGAGTTTGCAACCCTCTTCCATGACTGATAAATTCTGTATCTTACTATTAATCTATACATCTCAGGATCATGCAGTCCTACTGTCTAATATCTCCAAATCAAACACTTTAAAAATAAAAAACACCATTTAAAAGCTAGTTATAAAGTTTACATAAGCAACTTATTTAGTGTTGACTTGCTGTATCTTAAGGTAGGCTCCACACTGACATCTCATGGGTAGTTTACAAATCTGCCTATTCAGTCCCTTGCTAAGTTGACAAATTCATTAGGATACCCCTAACAAAACTGGTCTCATTTTCGCCAACCCCAAAACATAACTTTATTACTTAGCTATGGAAACTAACAATAAAACAGACTGAAAGATACTGTATGAAACAAGGACTGCTATCACTCACTCTAGCAGAATGAAATGCTAATACATCTCCAAACCTCAATGAAAAAATAAAAACAATACTTTTTTGTTATAAAACCAAAAGTCAACGAAAGAATCTGGGTCTACAATATCTGCTGAAAAATATCTGAATGAACAGGGGAGGTAAACCTAACAAAATCTCTCTCAGGCACGTTAGTCCTGAGGGTCATTTCGGCTTTTAAAGAATACAACTACAAACCTGCACATTATGCACATGTACCCTAGAACTTAAAGTATAAAAAAAAAAAAAAAAAAAACAACTGAACCTTGAACAATAGAGATTTAAACTGTGCTGGTCCAATTATATGCAGACTGTCTTGCTCCTCTGCCCCCTGAGACAGCAAAACCAACCCCTCCTCTTCCTCCTCCTCAGCCCACTCAAATGTGAAGAGAATGATGAAGATGAAGAGCCCTATGGTGCTCTACCTCCACTTAAAGAACACTAAATATATTTTGTCTTCCTTATGATTTTCTTAATATTTTCTCTAGCTTACTTTATTGTAAGAATACAGTTTAAAACATATTCCATACAACACACAACATATCTACTAACTGTTTATATTATTGATAAGACTTCCAGTCAATAGCAGTAGTGGCTCACGCCTATAATCCCAGCACTTTGGGAGGCTGAGGCAGAAGTATCACTTGAGCCCAGAAGTTTGAGCCCAGCCTGGGCAACACAGCGAGAATCAGTCTCTATCAAAAAGACTAAAAAAATTAGCAGGGCATGGTGGCATGCACCTATAGTCCCAGCTACTCAGGAGGCTGAGGTGGGAGGATTGCTTGAGTCCAGGAGGTTGAGGCTGCAGTGAGCCACGATTGTGCCACTGCACACCAGCCTGGGCGACAGAGCAAGACCCTGTCTCAAAAGACAAAAACAGGCTATTAGTAAAGTTTTTGGGGAGTAAAAAGTTGTATGGAGATTTTCAGCTGCACAAGGGGTTGGCATCCCAGCCCTTGGGTGGCTCAAGGGTCAACTGTATTTCCTCCCCAAATTTACCTACCCACTAATTACATATATACTGTGAATCTACAACATAAAAGCATTTGGGAGGATTAAAAAAAACAAAACAAAACAAAACAAAAAAACACAAAGGAACTATTCGTCATGAGTTTTACCCAGTAGATAGAGCAAAAAATACATTAGAAGGCAGTATAAACGGCATCCAAGTCCTATTTGTTGTTTAAAAATTAGCAACTACATCTTCCTGCTTTTGCATAAAATTGAGTGAAGTGTGAATAAGAGGTCCAACCACAATATTGATACTTCTCCATAAAAAATGATGAGCTGCCAACTTGAAAGTTATACCCTCCACCATAAATATGCCTATTTTCAATGGCTGTGTGCCCGTGGAGCAAACAGGATATGAAATCACAGCAATCATCAAGTGACAGAACCAAAGGTTGATCCAACAAGTTTCTGTGGCTTCCCTGCGCATCCGTCTACAAAATGACACTCCCCAAGCCTTGCTGGTGAATAAATGTGAAGGTTTGTAAGACAAATTGGTAGAAATTTTAGCCCACACAATTGCGGACCATGTAACACAGGGGTCCCGTGCTCCCTAGACTGTCCAAAGGCATTTAATTTACATATAAGACAATGCCAGAAAGTATTTTCCTTCATCTGTTTCCCTGTCCACTAAGTTAATTTTCTTTCATTCAAAGTAGTGCCTTTCCAACTCTCAAATTAAACAGATACTTCAGCAATGGAAATGATGCCTGAATAATAACTTTTGATGAAGATTCAAGTCTTAGTACAGCTGTTGCAATATAAACTGAGGCTGTGAGAATTAGAGTGTTTGAGTGTTTCTTAATTAAGTGTATCCTAATAACAGGCACAAAGTACACTGAGACTGTAACAGCCACCTGGGAGCTTCCTAGTTCTCAGTGGAAAATGAGACAGAAGAAGGCCAGAGCAGATCCCCAGCTTTGGCTGTAAGAGAAACTCTAGTTGCAAAGGAACTGCAGTTAATAACCTAATTTGCATCACCAAATACCAATTCAGTTGCATGTTTGGCCAGAAAAGCTTCATTTCAATGGATATATAACAGTTTATCATAAGGAAGCATCCTAATTTAAACATTCTCCTATTATTATTATTATTTGTTTTGAGACAGAGTCTCACTCTGTTGCTCAGGCTGGAGTGCAGTGGCGCGATCTCGGCTCACTGCAACCTCCGCTTCCTGAGTTTAAGCAATTCTCCTGCCTCAGCCTCCCGAGTACCTGGGATTACAGGTGCCCACCACCACCCAGCTAATTTTTGTATTTTTAGAAGAGACAGGGTTTCACCATGTTGGCTAGGCTGGTCTCGAACTCCTGACCTCAGGTAATCTGACTGCCTTGGCCTCCCAAAGTGCTGGGATTACAGGCGTGAGCCACTACACCCAGCCTCACTTTCCTATTATTCAAAATTTAGATAACTGCCATTTCTTCAAAAAACATTCTGATGCATAAATCTTTGCTATCTCTCTCTCAATAACAAATTCACAGAATTGAAATTCCTGGGTCAAAGACTATAAAATCTTTTCAATTAAGCATGTTAACAGCTATTACTAACATTCTTTAACCTTTTGGTACTTTTTGTTGTTCTACAATGAGCATGTGTTCACTGAAAAAAATAAGTTCACATTATAAAAGTCATAGAAATTAAAAACAACAGCTTTACTAAGGTAAAGATTCTTAAAAAAAAAGCTTTATAATAAATACTTGAAAGTAGCTTTTACCATTTTAGATGAAACATTTTAAAAAAAGAAAGACAAGTACTTTATTTTGACTGCCAGCTGGCATACTTTGAGAGTCGGCATCATAAAGTAGGATATTCTGTCTCACCACAGCAGGACATTAACTCCTAACCTGCTTTTGAGGAGCAGAAGTACAAACAGTGGCACAGGCACACTGGTCGGAATATTCCACGCAGAATGAATTAAAGTAGCAAAAGCTTAAATCTGTGGTTGTCTCTGCAGCCAACTGTTATTCACACAAGTAAAAATGTCTTCTATAATCCATGTATGATAATTTTTTAAATATTTATAAAATTTTACTACATTCAGATGTCCTTCTCAAAAGTAGAGAAACTTCCCATAAAGCTCTTTTTATAGCAATACACATCTATCCTGGTTATAGAGCTTGACACGCTACTGTTCCCAGTTCCCTCTGATACATTCTCTCTTATATTTCACTTTTAACACTCCTTAAGATGTACAGAATGTATTCTATGGGTCCAATTAATGTTACAATGGACATAAACCTTACACTTAGCACCTCTTGCCTTACGGTAAGGAAGCTTTTCAACTCCAACATAAATTCTTGTTTAACACTTTGTAGTTAATTCATTTTACCTACACAACAATTGTGACATAACATTACTGACCTTCAACATCATTCCAGCTTGCTCATAAGCTCTGCAAAGAGAATATAATTTCTCTGATGAGATCTTAATGAAATGAGGGGTATAAGAAACTTTCTAGTGAGGAACTACTGATAAGGAAAGTGACTTCAATTAAAATGGGCTCATGCACAATATATCGCTTCAGGTTTGTATTACCACACAATATAATTTTTTACTCTTTTTTCATGGGGAATAATGGCTTAGAACATCAGACGTTTGAGTTAAAGACATTTGATTTTGCAGATGCAAAATTAAGTAAGGCTCAGTAAGGTTAAATTAATTTCCATCTGACAAACCTAAATCTAAGTTTTTTGTTTTTGTTTTTGGGACGGGGGGGAGATGGAGTCTTGCTGTATCTCCCAGGCTGGAGTGCAGAGGCATGATCCCACCTCACTACAACCTCCGTCTCCCAGTTTCAAGGAAGTCTCCTGCCTCAGCCTCCCCAGTAGCTGAGATTACAGGCACGTGCCACCACATCCAGCTAATTTTTTGTATTTTTAGTAGAGACAGGGTTTCACCAAGTTGGCCAGGCTGGTCTTGAACTCCTGACCTCAAGTGATCTGCCCACCTCGGCCAACAAGTAACTGCTCTCCACAAGGCAGGAGAAAGCTTCCTGCCTCATTTCCACAGGCACTATTAACTATCGAACAGAGAAAAACAGAGATTCTACCTTATTTTTTTTTCCCACAGGCTACTGAACAAAATGCTCCTAATAATATATTATGGCAAATTTAATTTAAACTCTTTACATCTTAGAGTTAGGAGTGACTTAGTTTTTAACGTTGAGGTAAAAACTGAAACAAAGAGAAATGATTATTTAAATCAATACAAAATGTATAATTTGGGAAAAAAATTACCAACCTACAGAAAAACAGCGACATTTAAAACATAATTTGCAAATACATGAACACATGAAGAATACTTACTTGGCAGCATGAAAAAGACTGAATGGAAGCAACGAAGTCAAAGTTAAGGAAAAAAGAAAAAAAAAACCAACAGTTTCTACAGATCTAGTATTTAAAGACAGTTAACTAAATCACTGACCCAGCTGGTTCCAAAAGGCAAATCCTACAAACAGGTAAAAAAGAAATAATTCAATGCCTGTCGATATCGTTTAAAACTTCATAATTCCCCAAAACACTGCACAGGTTTTAAACTATTTCTATTATGCAATAACCTGAAGTTTTACTGAAGTACAAAGTTATTATGACTACAGTTTGCAAGTAAGAGAAACATTTTTTATCGATAAGTTTTCAAATACCTCAGGAAAATATACTGTTTTAAACTACTTATAATTTTTATTTCAAATACCTAAGGAAAACTGTATTAAAAAAAAACTGATACAGTAGCTCATGCGTTTTCAATACCTGTGCTACTCTTCATTCTTCAGCACATGTCTATAGATTTCCCTTACTTCATCCCAAGTAAAACCATCATCAAGTAAAACCACAACCAATAGAAAACAAGTTCTCAAATGTAGCTCTGCGAACCAGTGTGGACCTTATGATCAAATTTCACTATAAAGACTCCTTCAGAGTTTAAAAGTACAGAATTTTTCTAATAATTTTCTAACTTAAAAACATTTTACTTCACAGGTAGTAAAGCAAATTTACAGCAAGAGAAAACAGTTTGTCAAAATCATCTAACAGTTTAATTTCTTTTTAACAGTTGAAAAAGATACGCCCTATTATTTTCATGGGCAACAGCTTCCCTCAGGCAGGCGTCTTTTGCTTGCTCAAACTGTTTGGCATTTTTAAAAGCAACAGCTGAAATAGAAAAAAAAAACCTCCCTATTTCCATCACTAAAAACCTCAAATAAATCATTACTGAAATCTGCATTTTATATGAAGTATTACAAACATACTTATTTCAAATACTTAAGAAGTTTCCTAAACTATAAAATACTACTTTTTTCTAAAGAAATTTCCTTACAACTTTTCCAATTATCAGTAACTTAGGAGCATTTTTAAAAGTTTTTCTTTTTTAATTGTCGACTACTGGCAACAAATCAGTGTTACTTCCACTCAAAATCAAGAAGTCTTTCTAACACCAACACTCTCTAATGCTCCCCAGGGACAGGCAGATTTTTAAGTCACAAAAGACAGCACCTTACTTCACCAGTTGTACCTTTAATAATAAAAACAGTATTTTAGGTATAGGTCATTCAATTATGTAGAAACTGAGGGCCAATAAACACATTAAACAGTTTTTTATAATAAACCTTCCTTTTGGCACAATCTTTAAATGTCTAACAATGCGTTTTTTTAAAAAATCTTTTATACTGTTTACTATCTATGAAAAAGATATCTCACTGTTCAAACAGCTAAAGTATATTGCAAGGTGTTTTAAAAGTGTAATCATCAAAGCAAAACAGGAGTGCTTATAAAATATGATCTTACAAATTTTGGAAAACTTATCAAGGGTTGCTTACAAAGAAGCAAAAAGCATGATGCTCTAAAAAAAGCGTTATTTGTTAAAAACACTCTTAAAATTCTCTTTAATAAAATGTGAAAAATAAATACCGAAACTATTCCCTTCCCTGCTTTTCCGTATGTTGCTTTTTAAAAAATTTATTCTGATTAAATAGATTTTCCATAAGCCCTTAAAGAAAATAAACACAGGATGCTTCAGTGGGAAAATCTCATCTAAAACATTGATTTTTGAATGTAGTTCATGATCTCAGAGGGACAGAAAACAAATCTGTGTTGAATTTCCCTCCCAGAGGACACTTGCAAAATGTTGTTCCCTTCTGCTCCAGAAGCCGCCCTGCGTAAGTAGGTCCGTAAAACTCATACGGAGTTTCAACTTTCCATAATTTTAAAGTATGAGAGATAAACAATTGCCTGATGCCAAAAAAGAGAACTTACTCTGATTTAAATAAAAGCACTGAAGATGCATTTGCTGTTTAACCAAAAGCACTTGCCCTAGATGTTCTCTGTGCTGGGCTAACACGTGTGATCAGGGCTATCGCTGAAATACAACTGAAAACGTGTTCAAGGTACTCAAAATTTTGTTATATTTTATTTATACTCCAAATTACCACAGATATGCTGAAAGCTATCACTCTATAATTCAGAATGCTAAATTTTTAGTAAATTCCCTTTCTGTTGCATATTTTACATTGTTTATATCTTATATAAACTGATTAAAATATGTATATAGCTTAACACTTCACGAACACTCAACAGACACATTCAATGTGATGTTCATAAAAGACTCATAAAAGACATAAGGACCAAGCAAACATATGATTTGCAGATCTGCTTAAGATGAGGCTAAGTTAACAAAAAATTTAACAAACTCCTTATTCAATAGAAAGTATAGAGAAATATGGCAAAACTCATGGACACAGTATTCAAACAACTGGAGTTGAATAATACATAAGCAACACTAAAAACCCACTGCCGTGTATCACCAACCCCGCCCCATCGCTGCTGTCACAGACAGCAGGTACTGGGAACTCTGACTCAGCTCTCAACACATCTGAAAATAACAAGTGGAAAAAAACTTTTGTTTTTTAACTATTAAAGCCTTGTAGAAAGCATATATATATTATGGTGAAATGAAGTTATCGGACTATTTTAAGATTACATGCTGGAGCAACTGGACTATAGTCAAAAATACCTGCTTTTCCATATTCAGAAGCGGCACTGTCATAATCTGGCTTCCATTTTAAAAAACCAGTTTTCAGGCTAGAATGAAAGAAAGACACAGTTAACAGAAGTTACCAACCACATTTATAAGTCAGATCTCTGCTTGTAATAACCTTCTAGGTCTTAAAAAAAAAAGAAAAAAGAAAATAAAGGAGGAGCCACCAGGCATAAACTTTCCGCGTCACCTGCCTCCACCCAAACTTATGCCTAACAAACACGACCTCACCTCTTTCCCTCGCACTGTCACAGGTATGTGGTTTCCTCCTACAGGTTCTCAATTCATGGTCCCCAGACCAGCACCATCAGCACTGCCTGGGAACTTACTAAAAACATAAATTGTTGACCCCATCCCAAGCCTACGGCACCTCTGAGGTTTAACGAACCCAAAGGTGCATTAAAGCTTCAGAACCTCTGAAGCACAGTGTTGACAGCAGAGGGACTCATGAAACTGATGCATAGACGAGAGGCTACAGACATAAATGGAGGTATCATAAGCACGTCCAGAGTATAGATGAGACCAGATCTCCTAGCAAGACTGCAGAGAGAGAACACAAAGACTAAGGAATATAATCATTCAGTGGAATAACAGAGGAAGTAGGCAAAAAATTAAAAATTAAAAAATTAAAAAAGCAAAAACTCGCCACCCATAAACAAGAATGATAATCAGAAAGGGAAGGATATTACAAAAGCCAAGAGAAACTGCCTTCCAGGATCCCTACTGGCTTCTCGGATGCCAAATCAAAGAACCATCCATTTTGAATTCTTGTCTTACTTGCCTTTTCCTCAATATTTTATTTTTTTCTTATTTTAAAATAATTTCAGACTTAAACTAATTCAGTAACTGTCAAATTTGGGTGTGCATAAAAATTGCCCAAGCCATCTTAAATTCTAAATTTCATTCAATTAGTGAAGGCCTGCTTGCACAGAACACGGCTTGCTTCAAATGAATCAGGCCAGTATCTTAACTGGAAGATGGGGAATCCGTAGGAGCCCTCAGAAGTACAGCCTTCATTGTGTGACAGCCATGTGAACTACCAAAAAGTCGTAGCTTTTTTTTTTTTCTTGAGATAGGGTCTCGCTCTGTCGCCCAGGCTGGAGTGCAGTGGTGGTATCTCAGCTCACTGCAACTTCCGCCTCTCAGGTTCAAGTGACTCTAATGCCTCAGCCTCCTGAGCAGCTGGGATTACAGGCTTGCACCACCACACTCAGCTAATTTTTTTTTTTTTTTTTTTTTGAGACGGAGTCTCGCTCTGCCGCCCAGGCTGGAGTGCAGTGGCCAGATCTCAGCTCACTGCAAGCTCCGCCTCCCGGGTTCACGCCATTCTCCTGCCTCAGCCTCCCGAGTAGTTGGGACTACAGGCGCCCGCCACCGCGCCCGGCTAGTTTTTTGTATTTTTTAGTAGAGACGGGGTTTCACCGTGTTAGCCAGGATGGTCTCGATCTCCTGACCTCGTGATCCGCCCGTCTCGGCCTCCCAAAGTGCTGGGATTACAGGCTTGAGCCACCGCGCCCGGCCTACACTCAGCTAATTTTTGTATTTTTAGCAGAGAAGAGGTTTTGCCATGTTGGCCAGGTGGTCTCGAACTCCTGGCCTCAAGTGATCCGCCCACCCCGTCCTCCCAAAGAGCTAGAATTACCGGCATGAGCCGCTGCGCCCAGCCAGCTACAGTAACATTTTTTGCCAATTAAATTTATTTAACACACTTAGCATCTAAAACTTGTTTGTGTATATAGTGCTACAAAATTCAAATTAACATAAGCAATTTTTCAAGCTTACCAAGAATTTCACTGCTCAGAAAAATAATATCCTTAAATTGTGGTGTGTCTACTGTAATCCACAAAATTGAGGAAATACGCAATATGCAAAATGATAACCCTCTGTTTCTATCCCAAAACAAACATTACATTCTGTATATTAACATAATTGTTTTAATCCCACTAAAACCAAGATACAATCATTCAGTCGCCGAAGGAGCTATACACGGAAAGACCCAGAGAGTCTGAAACTGGGCAAACCATCCCAAGTCACATGAATACCACTAATAAGGAAGAAAGATGTATAGCTAATTTAGGTTTAGCAGCTATACCTGTTAGTCCTTTTGACTCTTTTTCTCCAAAGAATCAATAAGGAAATTGACCAATTTCCACAGAAAAAAAGAAAACAGCAAAATTACCATCTGTGGGGGTGGGGGGGATCAATTTACAAAATGACTCAGCAACACTGAACTATATCATCATTAGAAAATGGAGAAAAATCAAATATGTCCTAAGCTCCTGGCCCATTTTTCCTACCACCAACCGAGTAACTGTCTAGCAGCATTTCAAACTAACACTTCAAGCCTGAACCCCACACCTCCCTGTCCCAGATCTACTCACCAAGCACATCCATTAACTCCTATCCCCTATCTTGGCTGAAGGCCTCTCCCACTCAACTTCCAAGTTAGAAACCTAGGAGTTAACCCTTCATCTCTATATGTAGGCAGGTCATTAAAGCATGTCAACTACATATTGACAAATGTCACCCAATCCTACCCCTGTATTGTACTTGAATCCAGGCCATCACCACCTCTCCCCTGAAGTCAACAACCCACTAACATGTCTGGCACTACCTTCATGGGACAGTCACCTTTCCTCCTCTTCCATTCCCCACACCCGGAGCATATTACCTTTTCCTTGCTTCATATCTCCACCATATTACACTGAATACTTCTAGCACTGAATATCTTCTTTTTAGTCCTCTGTTCACTTGTCTGCCTGTCTGTGAATTCTAAGCTCTTGAAGAAGGGGCCACTTTTGGTTACTCCAGTATCCTCAGTGGCTGGTACAAGTACACAGAGACAATTTGTAAATGTTTGTTTACTGAATATGCCAAAGTTCATTCTCCACACTGCTGCTACCTTTTTCTTTTCCTTTTTATTTTTTATTTTTGAGACAGAGTCTTGTTCTGTCTCCCAGGCTGGAGTGCAGTGGCACCATCTCTGCTCACAGCAACCTCCGCCTCTGGGGCTCAAGCGATTCTCCTGCCTCAGCTTCCTGAGCATTTGGGATTACAGGTGTGCGGCACCACACCTGGCTAATTTTTGTATTTTTAGTAGAGACAGGGTTTCACCATGTTGGCCAGGCTGGTCTTAAACTCCTGACCTCAAGTGATCCGCCCACCTCAGCCTCCCAAAGCGCTGGGACTACAGGGGTGAGCCACCGCGCCCAGCCTGCTGCCACATTTTTTTCACCAAAAGCAAATCTAACCGGGTTCTCTGGTTAGATGCCTACAACAGCCATCTGAGAAGCCGTCCCTTCACAGTCTGGCCCCAACTCTTCTTCACTCCAGCTCGTCCTCTGGCACTGTGACTACACTACATTCACTGTTCCCAGAGCACATTTTCAGGCCCGTGTATAATATATACTACAGTTTGCGCACAGAATCTCTTTCACAAGATTCCCCCTCTGTCTAAAACATTCTGTATTTTTCAGGCCCTGCTCACAAATCATCTCTTCCTCAAATTTTCTCATGAAGAATAAACTTCTCCCTCTGGGTTACCTATGCACAGTTAATACAGCTTTTTTTGTGGTCCCTATTCTACACACTACTCTTACTACAAATTTTGCGTTTGCTCCCACTAGAAAGTGAGATTGTTGTGGGAACCTCTTGCACCAGGAGAGCCCCGGTACCTTACACACTGACTGCCTCAAGTCATGTGATAGCCTGAGTTTTTCCACTGTTTGAAAACTGGCTCTGCCATCTTTCACCTGTGCAGTCTGGGACAAGTCGTTATGAGGCTTCTCCAAGTCTCATTTCCTCTTACGAAAACTTATTATCTCTATTTGGAAAGTTATCGTGAAGATCTCAGCTTATGAAATGATGTATGTGAAGCACCCACCACAAAGCACGATGCTGGCTTTCTATTAACTGTAACTGACAGATAAAAATGCGCTGGAGTAATGAAACGGGGGGGAAGAGGCTGCCCAAAGGATGAATTAAGGAGAATCAGTTCAGTCCCACAAACATTTGCTGGGTGCCTACTACGTACTGTACCAGAGGTGGAAGGACATAAACAGCAAAGGACGAACGAAGCACAGTCCCTGCCCACAGGAAAAGTAAACTGCCAGATGACAAAGGTTCACCGAGGAGTTTTTGGGGTAAACCTATGGTCCCCTCCACACAAGGAGCTTTTCAAGGGCAGCGGTTCTCAACAGGGCGATGTTGTTCCCCAGAGGACATTTTGGGTTGCCACAAACGGGGAGGAGGTGCGACCGGCACCCAGCAGGTGGAGGCCAGGGATGTTGCTAACGAGCCTCGGACGCACGGACAGCCCCGATCACAAGGAGTCTTCAGAAGCACAGCGCACAAGTAAAGATGCCCCCTTTACCTACCAGCCCGGCAGCACCGCGCCGGGTCCCCGCCCACACCAGCCACGGGGAGCGGACTTCCGGCGGGGCGGACCCACGGCGCTGCCCGAGGCGCAGCGGACCTGACTCCAGCCCGATCCCGGGAGCTCGACCCCGGGAGTGCGACCCAGGGGACACCGAGCCCCTGCAGCCCCGCAGGTACCAGCGCGCCGGGTCCCCTTATCCCCTGACCCCTCCCTCCCGCCCCGCCGGGTGCTAAGGCCGCGCCAGTGAGAGACGGACCCGGCGTCCACACACAGGCCCATGGAAGGTTCTCACTCACTATTTCTCTGCTTTGGCGAGGTGTTCCAGCCCCTCGTTTATCTTCTGGGCCGCCATCTCCACAGTCGGGTGTCTGACGTGGAGACACGGTGCGCCTACCTCTTCCTCGGACGCCAAGAATCCGCCCAAATAGGCGTGGGAACGCCGAGGAGGAAGCTGGTGCAGCGCGACAGTCGCGCGGCTACGGAGAGCCGGAGGGCCCAAGCCTCTGCGGCGAAGCGGGGCTGGGAACCGACCGGGGCGCCCCGCAAAGAGACATCGCGCAGGCGCAGCGCGTCAAGGCTGTCCCCACCCAGGGCATCTAGCGCAGGCGCGGTGAGATACTGATGAGGTGTATTTCATTCAGTATTTCAGGGCACTTAATATGTGCCAGGCACTGTGCTAGACGCGGGAAAATCGGCAGACAAAAACTCCTGCCCTCTTGAAGTCTTGCTTTTTCATTGATGTGAAACTGTGAATCCTGTTTGTAGGGTTAATTGGCCTTATAATTTATTATATCTGAAGTTTCTCTGTATCACAGATAGAATAGTATTCATCTATCTATCCATCCTGCCTTTTGGGTATTAATCGTATGTCAGTCAAGAAACGAAACAGACTTGTAAGCCCTGATTACTGTCCAATAATCCGTGCCCGGCGCAAATAATCGCTCTAATATTTCAAGCCGCGATAAGTGCTCTAAACGGGAAGTTGAGGGATCTAAAGTCGCGTACAGTGGTCTGGTAAAAATAGTAACCAGTAATACAGTTGGCTCCATTCATAATTCATGGTGATTTCAATATCCACATGGATGATTCCTGCAATGCCTATACAGCCTCTCAGCTTCCAATCTCTTGTGATCTTTCCCACAGCAGCGCAGCCACACATTCCTGGTATCACACCATTGACTTTACTCATAACTGTGTGCCCTCCGTAGTGTCAGTTTCAAGCAGCTCACTTTACATTCCCTTTCCATTCCAGCTCATACCTCTTAGTGCCAGTGATTACTTACCTTCATCAGATTCCTCACCTTTCCCTATCCCTCTGCTCTTACACTTCCCTCTTTTCCCAGCATAAATTCAGGTCCCATCATTTTAGTGCATGTACTCTCAACGGCCTTGGCTCCCTCTCCCTCCTTTCTCCCAGCCAGGAAAAACCCCAACTCTCCGCCTACTCTGGAACTCCTCTTGAGCAAGTGAATTTGACTGGAAAAAACAAACGAGCATGCTAACATGACTCATTTTAATGATCATAAACATCAAGCCGACCTTTGGTGCTGCTGAGCAACGCTCCCACGTTTCCGTGGTCAAATCACTCACCCACTCTTTGGAGGGCTGTTCACACCTTCCTTCTCAAAACTCCTACACAATCGCTGCTTGCCTGCCAACTCTCACTTCTCGTCGAATAGAAAATAACAATTTGAAGAGCTCTTGCCTTTGGCCTCACCATACAATCTATTGCCAATCAGTATTTTGCCTTTTCTCTGGTGACAACGGGGGAACTGGCTTTGGGCTTTTTCTCTGTCTATCCTCGCTTTCTCATTTGGTACCCACACACAAGTCCCCTCTTCATTTGGTTGTCTAGCCTGAGCTTCCTTATAGGAAGGCAGCAGAATTTCAAGAGAGTGAACATGGAAGCTTCAGGTTTCGTAAGGCCTGGATGCCCACTGCATATTACTTCTGCCACAATTGATTGATGAAAACAAGTCATAAGGCAAGTTCAGATTCAAGAGGTAGGAAAATAGAGGAGTGTAAAATACTGTGGCCATGACTTCCAATTCGCCACAACTTTGGGATGACTGATTAAATGTAAAAGGACTGTTACCAGTGGAAAGCCTTATGTTTTCAAGTGAATTTAGATTTATTAACCACCCAATGCCATCACCCTCTAAAACCATTGAAAGTGCCCAGAAAGTTTTCTAAAGGATCTACACCAAAAGCCTATAGCCTCGTCCACATTCTCCCTTATTTATTCATTCATTATTGAATTATTATTTACTGAATGCCCACTCTGCACAAGACATTAAGCCTACACACCTAGGACCCAATTGTCGAGCAAGAGACAATGCCTGCCCTCATTGCATTTGTGATCTATGAGAGGATACAATATTTAACTTAATTTTATTTTTGGCATCAACAAAGAAAGAATGGGGGAAAAAAAAAACCCATGATAGTGACATAGCAGTTATTAAGAAATACTTTTTAGGCACGTGGTAAGGGTAAAAGTTCTCAGTGGAAATTTTCCTGTTATAAGAAATAACCCCTGAACCAGTTCTGTTCTAACAGAAAAGGCAGCTTGAAGGGCCAGTCCCGCAAGCTTTGATATGCAAATGTAAGCCATTAGAAACTAGGTTCACTCAACATGGCAATTCCCGTCATCTCTTCCTTGTCATCAGGTGTACCAAGTGTCATGGCCACCTCCAGATAACACCATGTGTTCAAAACATAACGGTGACCCACATTTGCATATTAAAGGGCTAAGGTGGGAGGGCCAGGTTTTTCGAGAGCTGTGTAAATGACACACCTGGTCAAACCAATCCCCTGCACCCTACGCAAACCAGACACCGCCTCCTCCAGGATCCCAATATAAGCAACCACTTTTCCACTGCACACTGAGTTTTCTCTTTGTTTGAATCCTCCCTATCTCTGTCTCCGTATGGAGGAACTGTTTTCTTCTTCCTTCCTTCTTTCTTGCCTGTTAAACTTTTTGCTCCTTAAAACTGCTCCACGTGTCCGTGTTGTTAATCCTATCAGCATGAGACCAAGAACCCTGGTGTTCCTCCAGTCACTGGAGCTATATCAATAGCCAATGGTGTTCAAGGGTTCTATGTTTCAAAGAACCCTTGACCAAGGAAGCCGTGATAAATGTGTGCTAACCTGCATTCACAGTAAAGGGGAGAAGAAGAGGGAGAATGGGCACAGTAAAGGTGTGATACAAATGTCCCCATTTTCTTCCCCCCCTTCTCTTCCTACGATAACATTGAAGTGGGAGTTGAGCAAGGGGAATTTAAACTGAGAAGCCCGCTTAGAAGAGCTGAGAATGCAAAGCATGGACCAAATGATGATAGACTAAGACATGTAGTTTTCCAAGCTAGATTCGATAGTGTAACTCAAGCCTTGGTGACCCATAAACGTAATTCTTGTTATCACAGCAGCTACCACCAGAACCTCAGCAAAAGTTGTCTTTGTGACTTCAACTTACCTCTTGCCTCTTCTCCTAAGCCTCTTTAGGCACTTAATGTCTTCCCTCACCCACACCATCAACATACAGACTAGCTGGCTGTTGGCCCAAGTGACTCCATCTGAGCCAATCCCCTCCTCTAGTTCTAGAAACCCTTTTTTCTTTATTCCGCCTCAATAAAAATGTGCATTCCCAAGAGATCTACTTGTTTTGGATGTGACTAAAATGAATCACATCAAAGTGTGAATGAGGCTTCAAATAGAGCTTGCAAACCCCATTTCTTCTCTCATGGTGGGCTTAAGCCTCTGAGAGTTCTTTGAGCCTGCCGCCCCAGGTTCCTTGTCTACACAAACCTGCTTCCTTCCCCTAGCCTAGTCTGCTGCCAGGAAGCAAAATTCTTGGACCTGCCTCCCACAGCTGAATGTTCCAGTCAAATAAAAGGTCTTTGTCATTTCTTGGAGAGAGGGTTTGATTGGTCAGATGAGCTCTATTTCAAATCAGGAATCATAAATAAGGAAGCACAAGAGCTCCTATATCACTAAGTTTTGTTTGTTTGTTTAATTGCTAGTACCTTGACAGTGTTATTTTACTCTTTCCCCCCCACAAATATGCTGTTATGTCATACAAGACATACACTTTTGAGACCTAGCGCAAGAGTTTAGCCATGAATCATGAAATTATTTCTCTGGGAAAATATATTCTGAGTTATAAATAACAAATTTACAAAAAACCTTTGGAAAAAAGTCTGCTATCGTTTGACAGTTCCTTTCATCAGAATAGGATTTTAGAAGATTGTGCTTGGCTTTTGTTCCGATAAAACTAATAGAAGCCATTATGATCTGTATTTTTTTTTTTCCGGTTAAGTATTAATGAATGCACTGACTTTTAAAAATCACCACTGAATCTTTATGAGATTAATATGGAGAATTCATTCTCCAGATTCCTGTGTCCAGTGCCTGCTTAGCAGCTCCACATAGACATCTAAAATGTCACACGTAACCTGTTCAAATCTGAGCTCCTGATGCTCCCACACCTGCTCTCCCTTCAGGCTCAGCCATGTGGGTTCATGGCAGCTTCACCCTCTCCTTGGCCAAACACTTGGAGTCATGCTCCTCTGCTCTTTCTCTCCACACCACATGCAATCTCTAGGAAATTCTGTTGACTTTGCCTCCAAAAAGTGCCCAGAGGAAACCGCATCTCCTCGTCTCCCTGTCCACAGCCACCGCGTGGTCTGTGAGTCGCCATTGTCTGTGACTGCACTCGCTGTCTGTGTTCAGAACCTGGCACAGTGTCACTTCCAGAGTAGAACCCAGTCAATTTCAGTGGAAAGTCCTGTGTCATGATGGAAGAAGAGGAAGAAGCATTTGGACACTCAGAAAGTATTTTCTCTCAAGTCTGGCTGTGGCCCTTCTTCAAGGTAATTTCTTTTCTTTTCTCCTTCCTTCCTTCCTTCCTTCCTTCCTTCCTTCCTTCTTCCCTTCTTCCTTTCTTTCTTTTTTTAGAGACAGGGTTTTACTCTGTCACCCAGGCTGGAGTGCAGTGGCATAATCATGGCTTACTGCAGCCTCAAACTCCTAGCCTCAAGCAATTCTCCTGCCTCAGCCTCCCAAGTCGCTGGTATGTGCCACCACACCTGGCTATTTATTATTATTATTTTTAGTAGAGACAAGGCCTCACTGTGTTGCCGAGGCTGATCTCAAACTTCTGGGCTCAAGCAACCCTCTTGTCTCAGCCTCCCAAAGTGCTAGGATCACCAGTGCACCCCCTTGTACCCAGCCAGCCTTTTCTAGTGTTTTCTTTGACTTGTTATTTGCTTCTATTTGCTGGACTTTCTCCACATTTCTCTCAACCTCTCCTGCTCTAACCTTTCACAAAACCATCATTATTAATTTGTTTTATTTTCAATTGAATTTCAAAATCAAAGCAAGAGAGCGAATGTTTGAAAAGGAGAAAGAGAACGGGGCAACACCCAAAGGTGCCAGCCCTTGAAGACCAGGCAGACTGGTATCCCCTAACCATAGCATAGCTTCCAGTGCAGCAGGGCCAGTTTCTGGGGGGCGAAGGGGAGATGGGTGCCAAAGGTGCCTGGAGTGGGAGTAGGATTGGCAGCCTGGAGCTTGCCTGAGCTCCCAGGCACCTGATGGAGG